TTATGTTTATTTAAGTACATGTATATGTTTACATAAAAAAATTCTTTGACATGGATTATATTGATTTTGGGGTTTGGCTAATCAATATTTTTCGGCATTATTTAAGGTTGAGGATATGCATTGAAATATTTGTATGGCTTAATGGGCGAGTGTGTCATTGACTGTTCTAAAATTGTGCATGTGAAATATATGCTAATTTAAGTAGAGAAGGTACTTGCCTATACGAGGGCTGTCCTAGTATGTCATGGACAACAGCGTTAAAATACAAAATACTCAAAAATAATTTAATACACCATTGCTTAGACTGTACATGCAAAATCCAGCAAGTTATCATATAATTAGATTACATAGAACAAATTATAAGACTACCCACTAAAGCATCGTCCTCCAACTTCATAATTACATGTATGTTATCTGACGTCAAATTACAATGCTGCTGCTTTTCAAAGTATCACCTCTGTGTAAGGTACACTTTTTATGCTCCCCGAAGGCTTCTTCGTCTTCTACATTTCTACTTTTAGTACTGTTCTACACCTAGGGCCATGTTTAAAAATTTTAAAACTGTGGAAAAGTACCCATTACAATCATTAGTTATGCTGCGCCAACGTTGAATACAGCCATTTTTATTGCGCTTATGTGAGCTTTCAGTAAAAAAGCACTGAGAACAAATATATCTTGCAATTTCCTTAAAATTATCCTTAAATTATAATTATCATAATGATACATGTACTTGTAGGTAGATTTTTTGACATCATCAGCCACTTACTATGTTTTAAATTTAATGTGTTAGGTTTGTAAAATGACCATTGATGGCTTGGGAAGTATATGCACACCTCAGACCTGTATTAATGCTTTAATATTTAATATATGTATACTTTCTTGAAATAATGTTTTTATTTTACTTCAAATTGATGAAGATACACTTGTGCAAAATAATTTTGCCTGGGGGCATTATATTTTTATTTTATAGCATTTGTGGGACAGCCCTTGTAAATATAAATCTGTGTGTTATTAAGAAAATTAATATACATTAAGATTGTTAACAACTGTACTTTTACATTTTAATAAAAAGGTCACATGCCTGATCAGATTATCAACATGTGCGTGGATTAAAAATTAAAGATTAATATCTTTTATAAAGAAACTGTTGATTTTAATCATTCAGTTTTTTTGTTTTTTTTTTGTTAAGTACAGTAGAAATATTGAGATTTTACGTAAGACCTGATTTGAAAGGGTGATCTTTCTTGTAATAATTGTTTGGTCTGCTTGATTAACTCAAAATTGATCATACCACTTGTTTTCAAATGTAAATAACAAATTTATTTTATTGATTAAATTGTTTTCACTGCATATAGAACTTACTGAGGCATTCAAGTACAGATACAATTATCTTTGAACAGCTGTTCAACTGTTGATTCTAAAGGTTTGGAAAACATAAAAAAACTTGTTTCAAAAATGAAATTTTAAAGGCACATTAAACCAATTTTTCCTGTTTAAGAAAGGGCAAAAATGTGTTGTTTAATAGATATAAAAATTATACTTATCATCAGAAGAAAGTACCAGAGAATGTGGAAACATTTGTCATAAAAGGAGAAGATTATAATTTGTAATTTGTGATTTTTGGACTTCCATACAAAGTACTAAAACTCTGTAACTGTACCTAAAAAAGAAGCAAAACATGCTTCGGGCACATGGCCAATAAGTAATTTAAAAAACCTATAATGGATTTAGAAATTTCTGGGGCTCAATGCTGAGGCTCAATGGGCCTTTAATGGCTATTTGCATATCATAATATTGTAAAATATAAATTCTTTGGCTTGCTGAATCTTGCCTTTTATTAATTTCACATGTTTCTTACAGTGGGTTAAATTAATTTACTAAAATAATTACATCAAACTATTTATAAATGGGTATAAACACATTAAATATTGATATGATCAATAATTGGCTGCCATTTTAAAATGGCGGACACCATTAATTGTTAAAACTTTTGTATAAATCATAAAACATATATTTACAACTCAAAACATTGAGAAGATATCTGAAGAAATCTTATAAAACTTATATATTCAAGGGGAGATAATCAACTTGTTCTATTGGATTCATGGTAAATGTTTCAGCTAAACAACAAGTGCCAATCGTTAGCACATACGGTCATACCCTGAGCTTCAATACTATATAGGTGTACAAAAATACCCAGGGGGGATGGGGTAAGGGGGGCTGGGGGTTTATGGTAGCCTAGCGTCTAGTCCTGTTGACATAGGCAACAAAAAATAACCTGCTGTTGAAAATCCAGATTTTTTGGCTTCAGTTATAGTAAAATCCATTAAAAGCTTGACTATTTAAAGAATAGGGAGAGCTATTGTTCTCACAACAGTGGCATTGGCAGTCATCAAAATACCATATGGAAAGGTATTTAAGTCTGTTCTATCTTTTTTGTGTCGCCTTGAAAAGGTGACATATAGGGGTTACTTTTGTCGGCGGCGTCGGCGGCGTCTGTGTCGGCGTCGTTGTCGGCGTCGGCGTCCCCTAAAGCTTGTCCGGAGCATAACTCAGTCACTATAAGTCTGATTGACTTCAAACTTGGTATGCATGCTTCTTTCAATAACCCAAAGTGCAGTGCACAAGGACCGGTACTCTGCAGTTCTTATTTTTTGAGTTAGGGCAGCATAACTCAGTCACTATAAGTCTGATTGACTTCAAACTTGGTATGCATGCTTCTTTCAATAACCCGAAGTGCAGTGCACAAGGACCGGTACTCTGCAGTTCTTATTTTTTGAGTTATTGCCCTTTGTTAATTTTCACACTTTAATTTTGTCCGGGCCATTTCTCTTCAACTAAAAAAGCTATGGACGTGAAACTTCATAGGATGATAGATCTCATTAAGAAGAAGTGCAGTGCATAAGAACCGGTACTCTGCACTTCCTAATTTTTTGAGTTATTGCCCTTTGTTAATTTTTCATACTTTATTTTTGTCCAGGCCATTTTCTCCTAATGTATAAAAGCCATGGACTTGAAACTTCATAGGATGATAGGTCTCATTAAGAAAAAAGTGCAGTGAACAAGAACAGGTACTCTGCATTTCTTATTTTTTGAGTTATTGCCCTTTGTTTATTTTCATACTTTAATTTTGTCCGGGCCATTTCTCCTTAAGTATAACAACTATGGACTTGAAACTTCATTAGGATGATTAGATCTCATTAAGAAGAAGTGCTGTGCACAAGAACCGGTACTCTGCATTTCTTATTTTTTGAGTTTATGGTCCTTTGTTAATTTTCATACTTAATTTTGTCCAGGCCATTTCTCCGAAAGTATAAAAAGTTATGGACTTGAAACTTCATAGGATGATAGATCTCATTAAGAAAAAGTGCAGTGCATAAGAATTGATACTCTGCATTTCTTATTTTTTGAGTTATTGCCCTTTGTTGATTTTCTTACTTTATTTTTGTCCTGGTCATTTCTCCTCAAGTATGAAAGCTATGGACTTGAAACATCATAGAATGATAGATCTTATTGATAAGAAGTGCAGTGCACAGAAACTGCTGCTCTGCACTTATTATTTTTTTAGTTATTGCCCTTTGTTATTTTTCATACTTCATTTTTGTCCGGGCCATTTCTCCTAAACTACATTGTTCACAAGGCGACACATCCGACTCGCGGAGTTCTAGTTTGATAGGGACTGCCACTTGACTTTTTATTGAGCGTGTTATTAGTGCTGGATGAGCAATTATAATAAACCATAGGCTCTATCAGAAGTGTTGAAAGCTGTCAAGTAGCATCTTAAAGTCTGCTACTACAAACATGTTAAATTGAAGATGAAGCAAGATTTGTCTTCTTATTAAAGAAAAAAAGAATGATGACCTGGTTCCAATACCCTCACCATGAAAAATGTTTTGTCCATATTTCATTGTAGACATGCCATTAATCAGTTTTTAAGAAATATTTCAAAATATATTACCTGAATGTGGACAGTGTAGACTATGATCAGACAGCATGGTTCTGGTCAGTTTGTTTGACTGATAGAAAATAGTGTTGAGTATAAAATAATCTGTTGTAAAGGTATCAAAATATCAAAGTGGTATTTTGACTTCCATACAAAATACTAAATCACCAAATTGAACTAATTGCCAGTGAACAAAATAAGCAAAAGATTGTTCAGCTTGAGTTATTTTTGGAAACTGTAACAAGAGGTCAAAACTGGGGCTTTAATTGAAACCATGAAACAAATTTTTGCCAGGCATTTGGTGTAAACAGGTCGATTCTTTTCTATTGTAATCATAATCTGAGGTTCAATATTTTGCTCTTAATTATTTTAAAGTTTTTTATCTCTACACCATTTTCTGCTTGAACAAGTTCAAGATGCTACTGCAAAATCATTTATTAATCTTTTCAGAAGTCAAAATAGTAAGGTAGCAGGAACTAAATGAATTTTAAAAGCACATTTTTTTTTTCTTCAGAAGGGGCAGTATAATATTTGGTAATGGATGTGAGATGCTAAAATATCAGTATTTTGGTAGAAAATAGTGTTGAGTATAAAATAATCTGTTGTAAAGGTATCAAAATATCAAAGTGGTATTTTGACTTCCATACAAAATACTAAATCACCAAATTGAACTAATTGCCAGTGAACAAAATAAGCAAAAGATTGTTCAGCTTGAGTTATTTTTGGAAACTGTAACAAGAGGTCAAAACTGGGGCTTTAATTGAAACCATGAAACAAATTTTTGCCAGGCATTTGGTGTAAACAGGTCGATTCTTTTCTATTGTAATCATAATCTGAGGTTCAATATTTTGCTCTTAATTATTTTAAAGTTTTTTATTTATTTGACAAAGAGCTTAGAAATTAGTCTCCAAAGTTATGTAAATCTTTTTTACCTCATACATGTATGAGGACTCACTTTCATCTATAATGGTCACTTGGGTCTTAGACTCTCTTGCCACAAGTAGGCTTGCAGTTATTTGTATGTCATACATTTTAAATATTGCTTTTTATATTTCAGTGACCCACGACCTCAATACAAAAATGTGGTGCAAACTGTTCGGGATACAACCATGCGTATGCAGAACTGGGACATCTTGCTCAAGAATATCAAGGCTTATTATACAGTAAGAGTGAATAAATAAATCATTCACATGTATCATGTGCCCATTGAAACATTTACTGTAGCATAGTGTTTCTGTATAACAAAATTTTAGCTTTAGGTTCTATATATACAAGATATTAAACGTAAGACAGTTTGGGGTGAGTGTTGTATTTTATGCTGTATTAATTTTTAGCTCGACTATTCAATAAGAATAAGTAGAGCTATTATGTAGTCACCCGAGCGTCGGCATAACTACTTATGTTTAAATTTTTGTAATACCTCAATTATTTTTAAAGTCCATTAACATATGGCTTTGAAACTTTGCACACTTGTTCACCATCATGACCCCAACCTGTAGACAGGAGGAGGTAACTGTATCAAGCATTTTGACAGAATTATGTCCCTTATTTTGACTTAGAATTTATATTTAAGTTTGCATACCTCCTCAGATATTTTCATATTCTTTGAAACATGTTGAAATTTTATACTCTTATATGAGAGCATAATAGGACTCTCTTCTAGGCCTTTAACTGTAATATAGATTTAAAGAAAAATTTTGCCCTTTTGTTAAATTATGAAGGCTTTTTGTGTCGCCTTGAAAAGGTGACATATAGGGGTTACTTTTGTCGGCGGCGTCTGTGTTGGCGTCGTTGTCGGCGTCCTCTAAGGCTTGTCCGGAACATAACTCAGTCACTATAAGTCTGATTGACTTCAAACTTGGTATGCATGCTTCTTTCAATAACCCGAAGGGCAGTGCACAAGGACCGGTACTCTGCAGTTATTGCCCTTTGTTAATTTTCATACTTTATTTTTGTCCGGGCCATTTCTCTTCAACTAAAAAAGCTATGGACTTGAAACTTCATAGGATGATAGATCTCATTAAGAAGAAGTGCAGTGCACAAGAACCGGTACTCTGCACTCCCTAATTTTTGAGTTATTGCCCTTTGTTAATTTTCATACTTTATTTTTGTCCGGGCCATTTCTCCTAATGTATAAAAGCCATGGACTTGAAACTTCATAGGATGATAGGTCTCATTAAGAAGAAGTGCAGTGCACAAGAACAGGTACTCTGCATTTCTTATTTTTTGAGTTATTGCCCTTTGTTTATTTTCATACTTTAATTTTGTCCGGGCCATTTCTCCTTAAGTATAAAAGCTATGGACTTGAAACTTCATAGGATGATAGATCTCATTAAGAAGAAGTGCAGTGCACAAGAATCTGTACTCTGCATTTCTTAATTTTTGAGTTATGGCCCTTTGTTGATTTTCTTACTTTATTTTTGTCCTGGTCATTTCATCTCAAGTATGAAAGCTATGGACTTGAAACATCATAGAATGATAGATCTTATTGATAATAAGTGCAGTGCACAGAAACTGCTGCTCTGCACTTATTATTTTTTTAGTTATTGCCCTTTGTTATTTTTCATTTTTCATTTTTAGTTCGACTATTCAAAGAATATGAGAGCTATTGTAGTCGCGTCGGCGTTGGCGTCAGCGTCTGCGTTGGTTAAAGTTTTTTGTAAAGTCAAATATCTCAATTATTACTTGAGATATTCAATTGAAACTTACAATACTTATTTATAGTAACAAGGTACATCAGATTGACAAGTTGGATAACTCTGCCTACAATATTGACAGAATAATGCCCCTTTTTAACTTAGAAATTTTGGTTAAAGTTTTTTGTAAAGTCAAATATCTCAATTATTGCTTGAGATATTCAATTGAAACTTACAATACTTATTTATAGTAACAATGTACATCAGATTGACAAGTTGGATAACTCTGCCTACCATATTGACAGAATTATGCCCCTTTGGAACTTAGAAATTTTGGTTAAAGTTTTTTGTAAAGTCAAATATCTCAATTATTGCTTGAGATAATCAATTGAAATTTAAAATACTTATTTATAGTAACAATGTACATCAGTTTGCAAAATTGCATAACTCTGTCTGCAATATTTGCAGAATTATTTACCCCTTCGAAACTTAGAAATTTTGGTTAAAGGTTAACGGTCTTCAAAGATATTTACTTGAAACTTTACACATGCACTTAGGGTCATAATTGGAGGGTCATAATTGTATGTCACTGACCAAGTTCCATAACTATATCTTGCATTAAGGCTGATTCATATCCCCTTTTCTACTTAGTCTCTTGGTTAATGTTTACATGTACATGCAAGTTTTACATATCTCAATAACTATTAAAGATATTTATTTAAAACTTCACATATGCATTTAGGGTCATAATTGTAGGTCACTGACAAAGATCCATAATTCTATCTTGCATTTAGGCTGATTTTTCTCCCCTTTTTCAACTTAGAAATTCATGGTAAAGTTTTGCTTGTAAGCTGTTATCACTACTGAAGGGTTTGTGCCTTTTTTTGGACAATTTTATGCATTCATAATAATAAAGCAGTGATTTACTTGATAAAACATCTTAATAACAAGCCTTTGTACCTTTTCTGTCAAATTTATGTATTCATAGGTAATTAGTATTATTATACTCAATAAAAAACCCTTGTGACATTACCTTCTGAATAGTCAAGCCAATTCTGTATAATTAGACTCTCTCTAAGGCCTATAACATGAATTTATAAAAAAAAATTAGCCCTTTTGTGAACTTAAAAAATTTAACAATATCAAGGCTCTTTTACTATCAAGCACTTAGAATAGTCGAGCATGCTGTCCTACAGACAGCTCTTGTTGTCCTGGCCATTTCTCCTAAACTACATTGTTCACAAGGCGACACATCCGACTCGCGGAGTTCTAGTTTTACTATCAAAGCATTGCTGTCCAACAACAGCTCTTGTTTCTTCAGAAGTGCTTGTTTGTTATACAACTTTGAGTAAGAAATAACATATTTCAGAGCATAATGAAATAGGTAAATAATTTGTCTGGATTTATGAGATACAAACATGTATATTAAGGCTATTTTGTATTTTGTTACTACATGGTTTCTGGTCTTACAGTATTATTTGATTTTGCAGTGCCATCTGATCTTGGTTTGCACTGGTTAGTAGTAGCAGGCTAAAGGTTAAAAATAAAAGTAAAGAAAAAGCACTTTGAATACAGTAAATGCCTATATTTTCAATGAATATTGTAATTTAACATATTTTCATTGTATCAGTATGTTACTGGAATTTTGATTTACAGATATCCAATCACTTGTAAAGAAACCATATTATAATATATCAAATGTAACTGTATAAAATTAATGTTGTTGACAGCTGTCAAAAGATAAATAGGCAACAGATGTCTTTTAAGGTTTTTCTAGGAATAATTAAACAAACTGTAGCAAATACATGTATTTGCAAGTTTTCATAAAAACTTTGTATTGAATAAGCTTTTATATCATGCTGTATGATATATCCTAATATGAAAACAAATTAAATTCTGATTTAAGTTTAAAAACTTTGTAAGTCAAGTAAAACGGATTTAAAAGCTTGATTAAGGCCTTAGTTTGTAAATACCTTTCCATTGATTTCACAAAGCAAATGAAATGTGTAGTAAAGACCGAATAACAATAGGGTGTTTGAAAATACTAATTTAAAGGACTTTTGCCAATATTTTCAGTGTTGCAAGGTCATTATATTTGGCCCAGAAAGACTTGTTTTAAATTTGCTGATAAGATATTGGTAATTAGTATTATTATATTTGAATAGGTCTTAGGGCAGTTTACTATAGATTGTAAAGATTTTGTAATATGCATGCCAAGAATATTTAACAATTATTTACTATCGTTTTAAAGGAATTGATTTGCTCATGTAAGATTACACTGACTCAGGCTTGCATTTACCACCTCAAGCAAAAAAAATAATAATGATGAGTGTATACTCAACCTCAATACAGATGACTTAATTAAACTAAAAAAAAGAGTTGTATATGCACAGAGTTTTTTTTGCTACGTAACTGTAGCCCTTAAACATACTTTCACACATGAAAATAATTCCCCTTGAGCTGAAAAATTCCCTTTGGTCTGAAAAAATCACCTATTGTTGCTTGTTCGCCTTTAAAAAAACATTTTTATTCTAATTGTTAATGTTTAGAACACACTGGATCTATTTCTGCTTCTGGTGGGTGTAAAAACTGGGACCTGGTATAAACTGTGGGCTCAGAACAAAATGTTTGATATTTCCTTGGAACTCATGACAAAATTTGCATTTTTATGTATTAACAATAGATGATATTAATGACTGAATTATAATGTTACTATTAAGAGTGCTGGACAGCCCTGTCTGGATCATTCTGAACTTTAGTACTTTTATTCCATAGTCACAATGTCACATTCATACATGTAATAGATGCTGTGTAAAAAAATCTAATTCTGTTGGTACAAATTTAAAAAAGTCCAAGTTTATGTTGTTTATTTTGAAGTTATTAACATATTTTGTTAAGGTTTTCCCTAAAATGTGATTTTTCACAAGCTTTTCATTTCTACTGAAAGGCCAGGCCTTTTCCTCAAAATAAAAAAAAAACCTGATGTGAAGTAACAATTTTGAAGAAAAAAAATCTTGTTAAATCTTAAGATGTTTGTAAGCTACAAATGTGTTATTCGCCTAACCATGCAAATTTCTTTAATCCATCTTTCATTCGAGACAAAATCATAAAAAGAAATAAGTACTATTTACTTGTATAAGTATCAAAAGTGATGTATTAATACCATAAGCATATTATCTTGCTTTCATAGAAAAAAGCAAAACACAAACAGATTTATTTGGTCCAAAATTATAAAAAAAAAAATAGTCCCTAAATTTTTTTATTCATAATTATCATTTTGACGTCTAAAACCTGCCTGTAAAATAATTGATTTTGAAATAACTCCATAACTGTTCTATCATGTTTAGAGTTTTATTTATTTGTTCAATGTGAAACATTTAAGAATTTTCCTCTTAACAATGGTGAATCAATATTTAAGGGCAGGACAAAATTTGCAATAGATAACCAACAATAGGTAAAGCTATGTAATGATTGATACACAAAGCGTCTGTTTACATTAATACAAGAAATGGTAAATCTTGTTTCAG